AAGTAGTGAAAGAAATGGAGCTGTACAGCAACGCAGAGCTGACATCCAGTGCTTAAATTCTGTATCACTCACTCAACACAATACGTTACTTTAAAAACCCCAGTTGTATGTATGTGATGTGTTAAGTACAACCTGGCCTACAGGCACTTATCTCTCAGAGAAGGTTTAGTCTAGATTTCAGAAAAAAGGAACAGTCCTCTGTGAGAATATGCATTGGAAATTATCAAATCTGAATTAAGTAGCTTAATTCCAATGCAGGGTGAAACTTATGAGAAAATATGCCTCACAATCTCAAGTTTATGCCATTTAATCATTTGCATTTGAAACTTGACAGTGACAGTGTCAAGACTTGACAGTGACATGTCACATGACCTGAAAGAAAGTATTTAAACATGGGAAGTTCAGGTTAGATCTTAGGCAGAAGCTCTTCCCTGTGAGGGTGCTGAGGCCCTGGCACAGGTTGCCCAGAGAAGCTGTGGCTGCCCCATCCCTGGCAGTGTTCAAGGCCAGGTTGGACACAGGGGCTTGGAGCAACCTGGTCTAGCGGAATGTGTCCCTGCCCATAGCAGGGGTTGGAACTGGATGAGCTTTAAGGTCACTTCCAATCCAAACCAGTCTGGGATTCTATGAAAATACAGTGCCAAATTCATCCATGAAGCAGCCAGTGGTTGGCTGAAACATGCTACAGTCCAAGACTATACACTTCAGTAACTAAGTTATGCCTCACGTCCACTGTCCACTGTATCTACAGTTCAAAAATCTCAGCTCTCCATCTCAGTTCATCAGAATAATTGTGGTTTAAAATGCCTTCTTCCCATCCCACTCACTCATTTCCATATACTCAGGGGTAAGTCCAGCAAAAGGCTCCAGGTTATAGTCCACTTCATAGCGCTGCTTTCTTTTCACGTGCTCTTCATGGTCTAAAGAACGCCGACGCTTTAACTTCAAGTAGCGTATAAATTTCTTCATTTTTCTGGGGGCAAAGGGAAGGATTGCATTAGCATGCCCTTTGGGGCACAGTGCCAATTTTGCAGCTATTTTACATTAATAGACACAATGAGCTTCATACCTACTTTCATAAAAACTGCAAGACCAGAGTTCAAGTCAAGGGGAAGTGGATACACTGTGTATCACACGTCCTAAAAACCATGTGTTTAATAAAACCCCAAAAAGAAACAAGCAAAAGTTGCTACTTACGGGATGCCGATCTCAAATAAATTGTTCTGGATCAGCTGCTTGCCCAACATGATAATACTGAGCTGGATACACAATTCCATTAGGCAACCTCCTGGAGCACACTAGGGTGGACAGAGGAAGCATCAGTCAGAACACCTGCTGCATCCCTGTGGCGGGCACCGATGGTGCTCCCACCCAACAAGATCACAGGCAGAGGGAAAGTGGAATTACCTCTTCCATTCGGAAAGAGTGGAAAATGTAGACATAGTCTCCTGGACGTCCAACAAATCTAGGGCACAACGGTTAGAATTATAAACTTGCTATGGATTTTATACTTTTTATATGTGATTCCTAACATCACTGATGTCAAACTCTGTGCCTTTGAATGGGACCACCTAGTGCTTAGTCCTGAAAAAGTGAATGACATTATCTTTGGTTTTGTTTTAAAGAACAAGTCCTGTTTACCGAGTAAATGACTCAGTAAAACTGCAAGTCTTGTGCCCTACAATATTGCAGGCAGAAATGCTCTGAGCTAATCCTCACTACTGTTGCATTAGCTGGAACGTTCACATAGAGTCTTTATTTTAGTCTTATGCTTTCCTGCTGGTTTCAAGAAGAGATATGATACTTGCTATGATATTAAGTTAGGAGTGGTAAATAAGCAGTTAATAGCCTTGTGGGGGATTGTAGCTGAATGCACAAGTTTATTAGTACAGGAAAGATATGGACCTGTTGGAGAAGGTCCAGAGAAAGGCCGAAAAAAAGATCAGAGGGGTGGAGCACCTCTGCTATGAGGAAAGGCTGAGAGAGATGGGCTTGAAGAAAAGACTCCAGGGACACCTTATTGACTCCTTTCAGTTCCTAAAAGGGGCCTATAAGAAAGATGGGGAGAGACTTTTTAGCAGGGCTATTGTAACAGGATGAGGGGGGGGCATGGCGGTTTTAAACTGAAAGAGATTCAGGCTGGATATGAGGAACAAATTGTTTACAGTGAGGGTGATAAGACACTGGCACAGGTTGCCCAGAGAGGTGGCGGTTGCACCATCCCTGGAGACATTCAAGGCCAGGCTGAGTGTGGTTCTGGGAAGCCTGACCTAGATGAAGATGTTCTTGTTCATTGCAGGGAGGTTGGACTAGATGAGCTTTGAAGGTCCCTTCCAACTCAAACTATTCTATGAATCTTTTCTATGATTATCTTAACAAATGGCTTTAACAAATTTGAAACTGGAGAGTCTCAAGTCTGTACGTTATCCCATGAGGCTGAAGAGGTTTTGGGTCAATACTGAGGCGTGCTTAAACCAGATTTACTCTACTGTCTGATTATGGTCTTAGCTCAGCACCAGCTCTCTCATAAGCAACGAGTGGAAAACAGGAACAGCCTTTAGCATAACTCACCGGCCTTTGAAGAAAGCAACGTAGAAGATGGGTGTGTAGGCATTGACGAACTTCAGGAGGAAAGCCTTAAAAATCAGCCGCTCTTCAAAATTCTTGTCAGTTTTTGGCACCTCTGGAACCAAGGTGACATGCATAAGAAACGTTAAGGAATTAATCCTACCTGGCACATTTCAAGATCTTATAAAGGTGGGCTTTGGAAAACATCAGCCATCTTTTAAACAAAGAGGTGTATATTTATTAGAATCATAACACAGTCTGAGTTGGAAAGGACCTTAAGATCACCCAGTTCAAGCCACCTGCCAGGGAC